TCCTACCTCTTTTGTCTGTAACTCACTATTATTTGTCATTTGTTTTCCTGAGAAACTATCTTGTAGATAACAATATGTAAAACAATAACCATTGATAATTTCCTACCACTTTGTAATTTGGGAAGCCCCCCCCTATTATTATGTTATCCTTCTTTTACTCTTTAAAATAAAATATATATATAAAAATAAATGCATTATAACATTGAGTCATATTCCATAAATCTGTACAAGTATCAATTTGGGGTTTTCTATCAATTAAAAGTTTTAAAGTATGAGAAGGCAAATCATATATATAAGAGCACAGTATGCAGATCATAAAGCCTGAAGAGCTGATATTAAACTTCAGATTTCAAAATTTCCTTTGGGGGTGGGGGTGTAGCTCAGTGAGTACAGTGCTTATCTAGCATGGGCAGGACCCTGGACTCTGCAAATAACCCTGTCTTCAGGGTTGCAAAAATAGTTTTTTATTCGAGTTTCCAAGCAGACCAAGTAACAAAGGAGACTGGAAGTAAAAAATTCAAGTTGATAATATTTTTATATGAAGGACAATGCTATTGGAAAATGTTTAACTCTTTTGTTCATAAGGCTAAAAAAGTGAACTTTTTTCCATTTGAGTAGGTAAGTAAAAGAATCATTTTTATAAGTGTAAATGAAAAATAGAAACAAGAACTTAAATTTGATGTGAGTCCATATAAAATGTCTTTTTTACATATATTATATTTTAATATAAATTAAACTCTGAATGTTCAATAAATATGCATTTTGAAACATTTAGGGAGAAAATAACCTAAAACGTGAAACTGTACCGTAGGTGGATGTGGCGCACAGTACTCATAATTTCAGGCACAAGGTGTCGCTCTTTACTCAGAGGAAGGAGTTCATTCATAGGTTGGTCCGAATTGTGGGGCACACCTCAGAAAAGAAGACTCCGTCATGCCGGATGCTACTGTTAAAGGATCCTTTGAAACTTCTCAAAATTCAGCGAGATTTTAATTTGAGCGGAAGTATCTGGTCTTGTAAGTGGAAAGAAACTTAATTTGGAGGCCAATTTCGAATGCAATGCTCGGTTTTCAGAAAAGAGGATTGAATACTCTGCGTCTACTGCTCTCGCTTCTGCTCCCGGCAGCCTGGCAGGCGGGGAGCGGTCAGCTGCGCTACTCTGTCCCCGAAGAGGCCAAGCACGGCACCTTCGTGGGCCGCATCGCGCAGGACCTGGGGCTGGAGCTGGCAGAGCTGGTGCCGCGCCTGTTCCGGGTGGCGT